CATATCTAAGAATTTGTGTAATGAGGTTAACATTTAGAAAAAGTTGCCACGGGTATAAAGTCAATAAGAATTATTTTTTTTAATAATGCTACATATAAAACGTATCTAATTAATTTTCAAAAATTAATTAGATAATAACAAGCTTGTTAATAAATTGTAATTATAATGATTAATGTATTATAAGTGAAATAATTAATTTCGAATATAATTCCTTTTTTTAATTCTACATATTTCGCCAATCTTTTAGAAAATTTATGTTTATCATGCTTGTCTTTTGTGGCAAGCTATTCATCGAGCCATTTTCTAACCACCTTGAAATTATTAAAGTACTGCTCTGCGAGTGCGTGCCCCATTGATGCGTAGAAATAATAGTCAGTTGGCGCCAGGTCTGGGAATGCGAATGTATGACGGAAGGATATCCCATCTAAATAATTTTACGGTATCGTGTAACAAAATCACTTTCCATGTCTTCTTGCATGAACTTGGTCGTCTTACAATCAATGTGTGACTTAAAATAAGCATTTGTTTTCGGTAAAGTTGTACGTTAACAGTTTCGTCGGGCTTTAAGTTTTCTGACTGGTCCCTTTAGACACAAAACATGGTTTTGTTGCCGAAGCGATTCGCCATTGGTGTTGAAGAACCGGCTTCGACAGGTGAGAGTTACTATTTTTTTCCAATAAAAATTTTTAAAATAAATTCTTTTTCCGTTATTTTCTTTCGCGATGTTAAAGGAGTATATCACAAGTGACTGCAATTTTTTATTTGACGTTTAGTCAAATCATGTGTGACCTATTTATTCCGTTTATTGATCTTCCCTATATCACTTAAACCTGCTCATTATTTTTTGTCACACAATTTCTGTTAAGTTTGAGTTATGTTATCAACCATTAACTTCTTTTACATAAAAATCACCACTTTTAATTAACCATGTGTTACATGTCATCAGCAAACGATGACTTTCAGCTACTTTTTTCTTTTGTTTAAATCAGAATAGCCATGTGGGACGCAAATATTCTTTTGCAGGCACAAAATTCAACAAGATCGCTGAACGATAAAATAAAGATACTAGTTTTTGGCGGACTCAATGTGTTTGTAGTTAAGCCTGAAACTTATGCATGTATCTGGTACTTTACAGAATTGTAAACTTTTGTAGATTGACTGCAGGATTTGCATAGTCAATCTTATTTTACTTTAAATAAACTAAAACGACCTATTTTCTTTATCTAAAATCATAATTGTTTTAATTTGATTCGATATATCTATAGTAAATCAAATAAAAACATATATATTTATGCTTCTACGATTTTAAAACATCATCATCATCCATAACTATAGATTATATAGTTAGGACCTAATCAAGATTTACGACATTCTTGGATTCTACTCTATTTATGGCTTTCCAGTTAATGACATTTATATCTCTCAGATATTGATATTGTTAAACATTGTCACTAAATTTCTTTCTCGGTTTTTCTTTTCTTCTCGTTGCTCTAACTTCATTCTTGAAGACTCTGTCTGCTCCTCTTTCTTCTGGCATCCACACAATGTCTCCTATTTACTTGAAGCGTTATTTTTTTATGTGCTTGAGTATTGTGTCACCTTTCATTAGTTGATTAGGTTCGTCATTATATCTCATATAATATTTCTCGTTTCCTTGCAGTGCTCCAAATACTTTTTCATAATCCTTATTTCAAGATTTTAAAACATAATTAGTAATAAGAATTAAATAAACTTTGTAATATTGCAATAATCTTTAACAAGAGCTGGAAAGAAACCATAGTTTTTTATCCAAAAATATTTCACAATTCATGTTGCATAATTTATAAAATTTTGATTAAGTATGTCTGGTCTTAGCTCGTATTTTTGTAAAATATTTGCTAACTTTTTTAAGCTTCCCTCACACAAAAAGTGTTGCCTTTAAGTGTGTTTATCTGTTTACTTGCAATCTTGTTTGTCAGCACAACACAAACGCATAAACGAATGCTGCACAACGTTGCGTATGAGTAACTTTTAATTATTTTTTATGAGCTTTCTTAATTTAAAACTTTATGATTAAACTTTGTAAGGAGCGCATTTAATGCCAAATAAGCCACATGCACAACTTAAGCTTAACGCCGATATTTATGCCACCGCAAACAAAAGTAAAGAAGTATTCTTGCAATAAATGACAGAAAAATGTCTCAAAACTTTACTTACGTGACTTAGCGCCATCAGTGCCGGATTTTTCAACATTTTCAGACTTCGACTTACTGCCAGCGCGTTTGCCATGGTTCTGGTGTTGTTGTGACTTGAGCAATTGGCGCTGTTTGCTTTTGTTATTACCATGCTGTTGCTGTTGATGCTGCTGCTGATGTTGATGTTGTTGTTGTTGTTGATTGGTTGCAGCTGCTGAAAATTTCTTATCTGCGTGTTTATGGCCTCCGTTTGATGCATTTTCCGGTACCATGTTCTTGTTAAGTTTTTTATTATTATTATTGTTATTTTTACCACGTCTGCCAGCACCAACGCTACCATTATTGTTGCTATTAGGTACAGAAACTGGAACAGCTGATGATCCCATATCAACCGCATCACGCGCTGGACGCACCAAAACATTACCCGAATTCATAGCTAACACCAATTTTGCCGATGATGATGATAATGACGATGACGATGATGCTGATGCTGATGATGGAAATGACTTTGCAAATACTGAATGCTTTTTTCCGCTTCCGTTTTTATGTACATTGGCGGATGCCAAGCCTTTCAAGCCATAAATCAATGTCGGCTGAAATGCCAACATGGCTAACAAAAGAACGGATAACATTAAGAGATTCATTTTGAAATGAGTTGTTATTGTTATTGCTGCGTTTAATATATATATTGTTACTGCTGTTGTTGTTGTTGTTGAGTGAAGTTGACTACAACCAAGTGATACAAAGATAGTATAGGCGTTTGGGTGTTGCAAAATAAAGCTGTAAATATAATAAGAAAGATTATGAATATGAGTAAGCGAAAGTATATATTGTATAATTAAACTGATTATATATAAGCTTATTTATATTATTCATAATTAAACTAAGTTATTTAGTTTTAGTTACAATTTTTTTCAAAATAAAATAAAATATTTTCTTTCTCTAAACTCTGTCAATCTGCTTCGTTACGCCTAATCACCAGTGTCCAATTTCCTTAGAAGCTTAATGTTTAATGATGTTTGAAATGATTTTTGTCATTTGCTGATAAGAGTGACTTTAGTCCTACGCACACTCACTGCTCATTAAATACACAATTTGCCTAACGTATTTATTTGCATTTATACACAATTCATTTGACAAATAGCGATGGCTAATGTTATTAACTGCAAAATATTCCAATTGCAAATAACTTGCTAAGAGCTTTGTTATTTTGACGTAATATTGGCGAATTCTTGCCTCATTTATATTCGTCTGTATATTTTATTATATGTATGGATATATACACATGTATGTTAGCGCAATGTTCTACTCCTTAACTAACTAGCAAATCCGGTAAGCTTCATTTTATTTACTTGGGCATATATTTGCAGTATTAATTAATGCAAAGGACAACCGCTAAATGCTTTGTATATAAAGCAAGAGGCTTTGTGCTATTTTGGCCCTTATGTTTGTCTGTCGGTTATTGATATTACCAACGAATTAATTCCAACAAAAACCAATATTTTCATAGAAAATTTAATTTTACATACTTTCACGTATTGAATTTTGAAGCTGTTTAAGTTATTAAATTAAAAATTTAATTAAAAAAATTATTAAATATGCAGAGAGCGATTTAATTTTCATTATAAATTCTATTAATTAATCATAACAAATATTTAATTTTAAAAGCCTTGTTTTATTAAACAGTTTTTAATTTCTTTTTAAAAAAAGTATACATTCATAATGATGAAGCTGGGATCTGAACTCATAGACTGTGCTCTATTTTCAATATCAGTACCGGTAACGAATTAGTTAGCTGTGTAGCATTTCAGATAAAACATTTTAGTAAATAAAATTGTTCTAAGATTTTTGTGGATTTATATACAGACTTATATCTCCGACGTGACAGAAGTCTAATTTTCTATACTTTATGTTTTTAGATCATTCTAGAATATTTTGGCCAAGCATAAATACGTTCATATCATGAAAATATCCTTTCCTCGAATTCAATTTTTATATGGCACATATATACAGAAACTATGATTAGCAATTTTTTATGACTTATAAACAACAACAAGTTTTTCAAAGTCAACAAGTTTTTCAAAGTAGCATACAAAAATAAATATAGCTTAATAGGTAAAAATTAATTGAAAATTTATTCAGCTTGTTGATATTCGAATCTCGATACTAGTGGGATACGAATATCTGAGAACGAATATCAGGTACCTAACACTGACATGTTTAGCTAACCATCATGAGATGCCTTCAGAGAAGCCCTTCATTCTCGAATTGTTAAGTATATAGCTGGACGCCTACCAGAGATATCATAGCAGTTTGACTGTCCGAAAATAATACGATATTTATATAGGTAATCTTATTACCTAGGATTCATATTGTTGTATAGTGCATCGTCACTATTTCTGCTTGAAAGACACTGCAGTAATTTGGTAGCCGAATCGATTTGTTAAGACCTAAATCTTGAAAGCCATTAAAATCTTGAAAAG